TTGTTCAAAACATATTGAGTTCTGGGGGCTTAGGTGTATCATTTAGCATTTGCCATGTAAGAAAAAAATGAAAACCCAAAAGGCTTAAAAAACCCAGCCATTTTATTTTTTTGAACTCCTAGGAATCCACATTTTGGGTGTGTTTAGGTGGGCAGTTTAGCTTTAGTTACCTGCTGCCTTGACTGAGGCTGGTTGGTTCAAGATGGCTTCACTTGCATGTCCTGTGGCTTGTGCTGACTCCTGGCTGTGGCCTGTGTCTCCAAAAGTGTAGCCCCAGGTTTCTTCACTCTATGATTGTGTTTAAGAAGGCAAGCACCAGTGCTCAATGATAGTCAAACTTATGTTTGCAGGACATTTGCTAATGTGCTGTTGGCCAAAGCAAGTTATATAGCAAAGCCCAGTTCATTGTCAGAGCATACTACATGAGGGTTTAGGTGCAGGTACATCCATCACTGGGTAACAATAGAATAGTGTACCAAAAGAAATGTACATAATGTACATTTTTAATCTATATTATCTTACGCAAAACATGCTGGGTTGCAAGATGTGTACTATCCAGATATTTAGGTACATATAAATAAGATGTGTTGTCATGGAAACACTTATCTGGAGTTGTATGTCAAGTCATTATGTTAATATGAAAATAGTTAATAGAGCTTAACTACATTTCTATAGGACTAGTTTTAGTAATGACACAATGTGTTTTTCTTTGGTTTAAATGATTAAGTTGTATGTTTAGGTAATGTCGATTCTTGCTAAATCAGTAGGTAATGTATGTTTTCATTAACCCAAAAATAAATTCTGTCTAATGTGTACCAATTAATGTACTTGCAGATGCACTTTATTTATTTATTTTTTTTTTATTGAATCAAAATTGATTATACATATTTTGGGGGTTCAACATATGAACATATGAGGAATGTTGATCAAATAAATATTACTAGCATATATATTGTTACAAATTGTAATTATTATTTATGCCCCTTGTCCAATATCTCCCCCCCTCCCCCCCTCCCCCCCCCTCTAATTTCCCTAGATTTCTTCTCTCCTTCTGAAAGAGTAATGGTCTCTGTGTTGATTTGTTGCCTACATGATCTGTCCAATGCTGAGAGGTGTGACCAGGTCCCCCAACATTATCATAGAGCAGATGCTTCTTCTGTCAGGCTGAAATGGGCTTTGCAGAGAGATATCCTCTTCTTTTTTTCCATCTCTGCTGTTGACTCCTTTTGTCAATGCACTCCAGTGGCTGGTGGACCATCTGCATGGTGGTTGCATGTAGCTGCTTTCATGGCAGTCATGGTTATTGTGGTGGCTG